CGGTATTAGTGTGGTTCTCACGTGGAGTGCCAAAGCACAAATTCTTTACTTGGTTAGTAGTTCTCGATAGAAATCCCACTAGGGATCGCCATCTCGGGCTCTTCAATCATTAATGATGATTCAACATTGGTTCTCCTCGAGGATCTCTCACTCTCAGGTTCTGAACTCTGCTTCTCAGATGCATGATGCAAGATTCATCGGATCTCCCTCATGACTATCCTCTTCTGATCATCAGGTTAATGAAACCCTTGATTATTCACAATTGATTCTAATTTGGTTCTTTGTAATAGCTTTTGCTGTGTTGGGCTCTTAATGGCTTTGTCTCATTTAAACTCTAATGCTTTTTAATTAGAAAATCTTATTTCAAAAAAAGAAAAAAGAACTTTACGCTCCGAATTTGAAAATAAATAAATTGATGGAGTATTACCTAGTGGGCTACATTCTATAATTTTTTTAATCAAAGCCGAAATAAGAAATATCTTATCCAGTAACCAACGAGCGTCTATCCAATTATTATGTCACTTCAACACCGTTAGATCATCTCCTCTTCTCATTCTTAACCGTCAGATCTTCATTCTCTCTTATCACACGTGCCGGTGATTCTTACCGATTTACCGGCTACTCGCCCTCCCTTCTTTAAAAACGTGCCAAGCTTCCTCATCTCATTCCCCAAAACACAGTGCTTTCAGTGACTCGGAAGTGTGACTCGCTCTAAGACTCAGTTTTGACTCGTTGATCAACAAGAGGTACAAATAACTCTTGATCTCTGTTTCATTACTATCATCAATCGATTCGGATTTTCTGAGATTTCTGACTTTGTAGCAGTGTGAAAAAATGGTAGATCGGAGTGTTTCGACGCTAAATCCGAACGCGCCGGTGTTTGATCCAGTTGGATTTCGTGAAGTTGAGGATTTCTCACCAAACTGGTGGGACCTTGTGACGACTTCCAAGTGGTTCCGTGATTTCTGGCTCACTTTCAACTCCGAGTATGATTTCGACGCCGGCGACGAGTTTGATTACGAAGAACTGATCATATCGTCCGACGAGAATCAGATCGTTAGATCTACAGTGACCGGTAACGAAAAATACACATCTCAGGATTTGTTCTCTCTTCAAATCGGTAGAAAATTTTCAGATCGGAAGTAAATACACAATGAATAGAGTTTTCTCACAAGTCGTTTATTTGTATATGTTTAGAATCAGGTGTTGCTAACTACTTGAAGATGATTATGAATATTGCGGAGTCGAAGAAAGAGAAGCTTTACAGATCTACTTCGTCTTGTTCGCAAAAGTATAACCGGAAGAGATCGAGCAAATTCATGAATCCGAACTTCAATTGTCGTCGGAATCATCACATCATCTATCAGCCTCGGTGAAGGCAGTAAGAAGAAGCTTCT